AAAGCTAAGTGATATTATCAGTTTTACTGTGTTGTCGATGGAACCATTAATAAAAGAGAAACCAGCGGAACACGAGAGTGTCTCTCATTCGCACTTCCCATCCCCTTTGAACAGGAATTTCTCGGCGAGGAAAGTGGAACGGATTCGAAGTCTCGAAGTTTGCCAAGTTCGAAGACCTTTCCTTGTTCTTCTCTTGAGCTCTTCTTTCGTTTTGTTCTTCAACTGCAGTCTCCACTTGTAGCTGAGTTTAAAATCCTCCAAATTGTCTAAATTTGACTCCAAGGCACAAAACTCTGAACCACATTTGAACCATAAAAAGCAATGTTAAAAGAACTGTACAATAAAATGACATCCATTGCTTTCATGTCAATTTCATCTCTCTTTCGTTTGATATATCTTTTTATATCGAATGGTCGTTTTTATAAATATCCTTTTAATAATATACTAAATACTAATAATATAAATAATCGTTTCGATAGTATAATAAATTTCGTACATCTAAGGATAGCATTTTTCTAGCGTAAATTTTATACTCTGATGAATAATTTCGTGCGTAATTTACTACAGATCAACGTATGCTAAACTTAAATAATAAAGTAAGTATTCCAATATAACTATCTGTTTTATAGATCAACGTTTTTTTCTCCTCGTCTCTCGAATTGATACACATCTTCGTCTAAACGAAGATCTCTGATTTACAAATATTTTAAATTATCCGTACAGGTTTTCGTTTCTGACATATCGAGCCGTTGAGATTGCAATAACGATAAAACACGTCCAGCGTCGAATCGAGGTTTCGCATCAGGCGAAATCGAGGCGAGATATACAAGAGTGGTTAAGATCAAGGCCGGGTCTGGCGAATTCTGGCCGGTCAATTACGAAATCGAGCAAGCCCGTTTTTCGTTGCTAGAAATTGGAACGACGCGTACGTGGCCCGCATGGGAGAGGAGAGCCGACAGGCTTTAAACGTTCTGGCCGAGAAAACGACGACTGCATTCTTCTGGCTTGTAGGTCGCGACGCGAGAAAGAACCTTTCCAGCCCGCTAGCGCCGCGAAATTCTCTCTGCTCGTCGCCTAACGCCTGTAATGGCTGCTCAAGGTCCGTCTCCACTTGCAACCACTTATCGTCACTGACGTTTGACGAGTTTATTACTACGTGACATCGATCGAGCCGAAGACAGTTTGACATTAGAACAAAGTTCTCTTTCAAATCTTTGGTTCCTATCACTGCCAGAAATACGCATATACTTCTCTCAGTTGTATTTGAAGAGAATCGTGTGAAAAAAAAAAGTTACATCTTGTATATCTTTTCTAAGTAAAATTATCTTCTCATCGATCGTAATTACCGAGACGTCCCGTTATAGTATTGTAATTATTCGTCGAATATAATTTTGTTGCGACATTTCATTGTTTTAAAATTCTACGGCATTTGGTTGATCACGATGTCATTTATGAAATCGACCGCAAAGTATTGAATGTTCTTCAAAATTAATTTGACGGCGAAATTCTAGCCAGATTGAAGAAATCGTCTATTAGAAAGAAGACAATGTCTTTTCTTTCGGGAGAATAATGATCGGAAAAGTCTAAACGTGAAAAACTGTGCTTACGATCTTCTAGAAAAAACTTGGATTTACGACTCATCGTTTTTATTAAATTTAAAACGAATCAGTGTACGCGATCGTCTTGATAAATAACAATCGTTTTGAACTGTGTAAACTTATTTGGAAACAGAATGGGAAACCGCAAAATACAAAGGCTTGGAACCAGCTACTAGTCTAGCACATAAACCTTGAGGCATTTACTCACCAGCAGTGTACAACATTTTACTCTACATTTTTAACAAAGTAATAAATACAATACAGTAACAAACTGAACTTACAATAAATTCACGAACTTATAAAAAGAGAAGATAAAAGAATACTTATTACTCGTTGGTATTCAAAAATATTAAGTTGATTGACAACTTGTAAACTTCTCTTTCACAATTTCACAATTTCACAGGATAACTGTTGTGTAATTTGTAAAATTTGTTGAGAAAATTTTATTCATCACGCACAACAGAATTTATTGGTACTGGCAATTTATGACTCGAGACTCGTAACAATATTAATTCAAATAATTATGCAAAGAAAGAAGTCCAATACATGGATACAGTTTTGCCATTGTATCTTCTACGTGGCCAGAAAATTTTCAAACTTCAAACGTTTCAAAAAGACCGTCTGTTACGGAAATGTTATGTAAAGAGATGGCGATGAAACGGCAAATTGTTCGCGAACTGTTCACCAACATATCAGTGAGAACGCACCTTTACAATTCGAGCGAACAAAACTCGCAATCTCCGTCGATCATGAAAGCCAGACGGCAGTTAATCACACGGTAGCAAGAAAGCTAGTTGAGCAACAATGAAATAACAATGATCGGCGATTAGCTCGTTCGCTCGATCGATCGCGATAAGTCACCGCGAACGCGGCGGAAAAGATAAAGATGTATATTCGCACGGTTATCCAACATTGGAACGAGGGAGTTCCGTTATTTTCCAGGTTGGAGAAAAGAAAGGAGACGTGAGGCGACACGTGAGAGGGAAAATCGCACAGTAACCTCGTGAAATACCAACTGGCCAACAACAATCGGTGTGCTCGAGGCGACGCGATGATGCTTGCATTCCGATGCAGCCTTTCTTTCGCATCGTTTTCATTCCGAGATGATTGTAACCGATTGTTTCCTTGCAATTGGGAATATTTCCTTTCGAAGAAGAATCTTTCGATTTCGCACGTAACAGTAGCTTGCATTATATTCAAAAATGTTCGCTTGCTAAAAATTTAAAAAAAAGACTCTTTGTAGAAAATGAAAGAATGCGAAGAACTTTGATTTGTTTATCTGTTGTTTATTTATTATAACCGTAGTTCGATATTAATCGTTGTTGGGCGAATGATATGCACACAAATTACGTGTGTCATTTTATAATTTAAAAATGCACGGGGAATCTGAATGATCTAAGATTCCAGAGGGTGGCAAATATTCAGAACTTGTGAGCTTCGAAAGCTGAAGGCTTCTCGGAGTCTAAGAATTCAAAGAGATGAGGATTCAAAGAGCTAAAGATCACAGAACTGAGAACTGCAAGAAGATAACTATAATAGGATCGATGATGTACCAGAGATCATCGATGATTGCGACGCGCACTAAGTCTATGTATTCAATTAATTTCCAGCGCATCGAGGGGGGGGG